TCCACTCACCTCAGCCTCCCAAAACGCTGGGATTACAGGCTGAGCCACCGAGCCTGGCTTCGATGATTATTTTTATAAAGTGCTTTTCTGAGAGTGCAAAGGTTTCTTTTTGGAGTAAAACTATAAGAAAATTTTGATATTCAAAATTACTGTGTTTGTTTTTTAAAGAATCAGAACAGAGTTAATAGGAACTTTGAAGTTTAATCTTTCTATTCATCTGTTGAATAATATAACTTCAATAATATACCACCTTTAAATGTTGAAATAGATTACACATTTTAGGGCATAATGGTAGAATATTTGGGAACAGTAAAGACTAGAATTTTGTTGAAGCGAATAACAAAATAGTGATTTATTATGTTAATATAAACTCAAATTTATTGTTTAATGGGTTTTGTTTTTGCTTTTGTCCTTGGGAAATCTTGAGTAGCTGATTTTGTTACACTTTCAGGTCTTTCAAACATGATGTCAGATGGTGAATTTTTAAGAACAAGTTGCGGCTCACCCAACTATGCTGCACCAGAAGTAATTTCAGGAAGGTAGTATTTGATACCCTCTCATCCCTTGATCCATTTGTAATTGTCTTTTTCTCCTGCACATGTAGTGTCATATTTAATTCTGAAAGGAAAGAAATATAAGGCTTATTTTTTTCTTGTCTGGATATGTTCTGTTTTAAGAATAAAACACTGTCAGTGAATATGGGTCAAAGACTGCAAGTAAACATTATATTAAAGTTGTTAGAAGAGAGTCCTTTAATTTTTTTCCCTGCTGGAAGAAATTGAAGGTTTAAAACTAGTGAGTTTTTAAGACACTGAAAATTTGAATAATACAGAAATACCTAGTAGTTGGAAATGGTTTATTCCTTACTTGGAGGAAGAATTAAATGGGTAATGTGTAGATTTAATATTTGACATAGATGGCATTTTGTAGTAGCTATTAGGTTTTATGATAAAATGATGACAATCTTTATTTTTATTTTTTTTTTTTGAGTTGGAGTCTCACTCTGTCACCCAGACTGGAGTGCAGTGGCTGCTCCTGGCCACTGCAGCCTCCACCTGCTGGGCTCCGGTGATCCTTCCGCCTCAGCCTTCCGAGTAGCTAGAACTACAGGCGCACGCTACCATGCCCAGCTAATTTTTGATTTATTGTAGAGATGAGGTCTCACCAAGTTGCCCAGGCGGGTCTCGAACCCGTGGGCTCGGGCAATCCACTCACCTCAGCCTCCCAAAGTGCTGGGATTATAGGCTGAGCCACTGAGCCCGGCTTGACAATCTTTAGATTTTATTTATGTTGAAACTTGATTCTTTAAATCTTTTAGAGACTGCAATATTATTCTAACCTCTCAATTTACTAACTAACAGCATTGAGAACTTGAAGACATTTGTACAGTGTAACTTTTTGAAAAGTTTAGAAAACAGGAGATTTTAATACCACTGAAATTGAAAACAGAAGCTTTAGCTTTTATAATGAACTTTTAATAACTTTTCATCCAAACTATGGTTTTGTTTCATGTCTTGATTAACTCAGAAGGCAGAAATATTGTGGTGTTTTTCTTTCTATTTTCATAAGCTTGTTTCCCTAGACTGTCCAGATAAATGAGATTTGGGTAAAGGTATGGCTATGAGTGAGGCAGGAGCACCTAATTTCAGATTTATCAAGTTTCATTATTATCTTTTTATATTAACTTAATGTCCAAACTTCTTTCTTAATTTTTATTTCTTTTGTGTTGTCTATCTTAATTCTTTTGGGAAGAAAACAATTTGGGACATGGATATTGCTGGCAGTGTTTATTCAGTAAATAAAAATAAATGTTATAATTTTACATATATGCGATGGGATACTACTGAAATTTAATTTTCCTAGTTTTATAAAGTTTCATTAAGGTCTAGGTGAATGAGAACTTTTACTTTTAGAAGAGTATTTGTGGACCAGTTCAACAATATATAAATTTAAAGAAATCCATTTCCTAAAGCCAGACTTTGAATGGGTGATCTAAGTAGTTTGCAGCTAAGGCAGTTAAGGCAGTTGGCTATGGTATATTGCAAATGAGAGTTTAAAATCTTCTGTGAACCAGTTGGTTTGACTTTCTTCCACAACCCAGGGTCCTTTTGCTTAGATGAAAGGGATCTTAAGTTACTGGGGATAGAGCATTCAGAGTCTATCACTAAAAAGCATCAGTTGATGAATGATCATCAATTATTATGATCATCAACTGTAATTAATCTTTCCTCTGTAACCAAAAAAATCAGTTTAAAATTTATTAGTGGTATATATTTTCAAAGTTTTACCCTTTGTTTGGATCCCTTGAAGGCTATAGGAAAATGGTAAGAACAGAATTTTAGCCATGGTGTGTGGTTTACAAAACTTCTTAACTTTTGTTTTCAAAGATTATACTGATGGAATTAAGACTTTATGTATAGTATGCAGCAGTGGCTATATAAGCAATATTCTGCTTATTAATTCTTCATGAAATAGCCATATTTGAAATTTTTGATTAACTGTTACATTACAAATGATTATTTAATTCAGTTAGTATTTCCTGTTACAGGTTGTATGCAGGCCCAGAGGTAGATATATGGAGCAGTGGAGTTATTCTCTATGCTTTATTATGTGGAACCCTTCCATTTGATGATGATCATGTGCCAACTCTTTTTAAGAAGATATGTGATGGGATCTTTTATACCCCTCAGTATTTAAATCCTTCTGTGATTAGCCTTTTGAAACATATGCTGCAGGTGGATCCCATGAAGAGGGCCACAATCAAAGATATCAGGTAATAAAGCAGTTTGGGAGTTCTCAGAACTAATGGTCTGTTAAGTGAAAGAAAAAATTACAGAACAGAATATACTGTGTTAGCCTGTTTTTATGTGAAAAAATTTAGTGTACAGACTCATTTATTTACTTTAGTTTGGTATTAAAAATACACAATTAACTGGTTACTTTAGGGAAGTAAGATTGGTGAGAGGGAACATGTTCACTTTTTACTTATGCATCTTTGTTTTCAAATGTTACAGTGAACATTACATTACTTTTTAAATTTAAAAAAAAGGGCTAATGAAAAATAAAAAGGACCCTGGTGGAGTGTTAATTAAATTTTGTAAGAGTGCTCTAGAAATTACTACAAAATAGTTTTCTTTTCTTTTCTTTTTTTTTTTTTTTGAGTTGGAGTCTCACTCTGTTGCCCAGACTGGAGTGCAGTGGCCGCTCCCAGCCACCGCAGCTTCAACCTGCTGGGCTCTGGCAATCCTTCTGCCTCAGCCTTCCAAGTAGCTGGAACTACAGGCATGCACTGCCACGCCCGGCTAATTTTTTGATTTACTGTAGAGATGAGGTCTTGCCAAGTTGCCCAGGCGGGTCTCGAACCCGCGGGCTCAGGCAATCCACTCACCTCAGCCTCCCAAAGGTGCGGGATTACAGTCTGAGCCACCAAGCCCGGCTACAAAATAGTTTTCAACAGTATGCTTCATTTTTGACTTTAATGTATTCTTATTAGGATTAATACTTTTTAATAGTAAATTTGTGTGTTGCTGTTCAAGTTATGATCTCATAATTATCATATTTTTTTCTTAATCCCAAAGATTGAGAACATTTTAGTTAGTGACATGTTTTTTCTTAGTGGTAAACATTGAATTAGATACAACATTGCTGTTTTCTAGGTAGAAGTTGGTATTATCTGTTTCATGTAGTTCAACCTAAGAACCTAATAGTTTAAATAAGGCAGAAGTGATGATGATAAATCTTCTCATGTTTGGGCAAGCCATTTCTGATGAAGACCTAAAAGTTTTACCATAAACTTTGTTTCTTCTACCATTGCTTCCCTTCCTTCTTCCTCTCCCCACCGCCGCCCTCCCCATGGAAATTACTCTTTTGTCTTCTAACAGCTAGATCACACATTTCTCTGGGAGAGTGAGAAGCAAGAAGGAAATCGGATATGGATCCAGGAATAGTAAATAAGAAAGCATTAGGGTAATGAAGTAGAAGAAAGGATTATATGTGGAACTTGAAGCTTGATTACTTTCCATTTACCACATGTGCTAAAAAAAGGCTAAAAAAAAAGAAAGGCCATAAATGGGAGGGCATGATTTTACCAGCAGAAGCAAAGGACAAATCATTTTCTAAAAATTTATATTTTAAAATATCTAAGTGTGAAATGTTTTTGTTTATGTTTTACTTTTTTTTTTTTAGTTAGTCTCACTCTATCATTCAGGCTGGAGTGCAGTGGCATGCTTATGGTCACTGCAGCCTCGATCTGCTGGGCTCAGGTGATCCTTTCACCTCAGCCTTCCAAGTAGCTGGAACTACAGGCATGAGCCACCATGCCCGGCTAATTTTTTGATTTGCTGTAGAAACAGGGTCTCGCCAAGTTGCCCAGGCTGATCTTGAACTCTTAGGCTTAAGTAATCCTCTCACCTCCACCTCCCAAAGTGCTAGGATTACAGGCCTGAACCACTGCACCTGGCCTTATTTTTTTTTCAATTAAAAAATGATTGTTTTTGTTAAGCACTGGCCAGGCCATGTGTTCATTGAGCTATGGTCAGGCCATGTTTTCCTAAGCTTTGGCCACCTCCCATACCTTGGGGAGGCAAATCTCTTCTGTCTTTTCTCTCTCTCTAATTTACTTTCTAAATAAACTATATTTTCCAATCTAAAAAATAATAATAATATATGACAATCGGAAAAGACAGAAAAACAAAAAAATAGTGAATAAATTTATGTTTAATCCTATCACCTTGAATATATAACCATTGTTCTTTTGAGTTTTTTCCTCTCTCAAGTTTTTTTTTAGTTTTAGTATAGTTTTACATAGTTCAGGCAAAACATGTCTTTTTATATATGAAGTTAGGGAATTGGAATAGAAAATCATTCAGAACATGACTTTTCCAGACACATAGAAAAGCTTCTGCCATTTACTGCCTTTGTAACCTTAAGCAAGTTCCTTGATTGTTTTGGACTTCGGTTCCTTCACCTAAAGCAAGTGGGTATTATTATCTTCATAGAATTGTTTTGAGGATGAGGGGAGATAATATAATGTGTTTAGCATAAAATCTAGCACAAAGGAAGTGCTCAATGAATGGTAGTTGTCTACTATTTTTGTTGTTGTTATATTATTTTCACTTAACATTATATCAAAAGAATATTATAATGAAGCTACATAACATATTCTCCGTTAGAGCTGGAAATAAGTTGTTCTATTTCATTGTCATTTGTTCAAAAACTTTTTTTCCATTGCTATATCAATGCATTCTCCCTCATAAAATCAGGAGGAGACTGGAACATTTCTTTGATACATACAATGATGTGTGAGCTAGAAGAGGAAAATTTCAGTGTAAAAAATGATAATCACAATAAAATATGGGTATAAATATAAATGATTTTATATCCCCAATTCCCCAAACTGTTATTTTCAGTTTTGGCTCTACTCAAAATCTTTCTCCTGACCCTGCTATTTTCTCTTAGGGAACATGAATGGTTTAAACTCGACCTTCCAAAATATCTCTTTCCTGAGGATCCATCATATAGTTCAACAATGATTGATGATGAAGCCTTAAAAGAAGTATGTGAAAAATTTGAGTGCTCAGAAGAGGAAGTCCTTAGCTGTCTTTATAACAGAAATCACCAGGACCCTTTGGCAGTTGCCTACCACCTCATAATAGATAACAGGAGAATAATGAATGAAGCCAAAGATTTCTACTTGGCGACAAGCCCACCTGATTCTTTTCTCGATGATCACCATCTGACTCGGCCCCATCCTGAAAGAGTACCATTCTTGGTTGCTGAAACACCAAGGGCACGCCATACCCTCGATGAGTTAAATCCACAGAAATCCAAACACCAAGGTGTAAGAAAAGCAAAATGGCATTTGGGAATTAGAAGTCAAAGTCGACCAAATGATATCATGGCAGAAGTATGTAGAGCAATTAAACAATTGGATTATGAATGGAAGGTAAGAAAGAAAGAACATTTTGATAATTAGCACATTTGGCAAACCTATAGTCTATAAAATGTTTTATGGAATAATTGCTTTTGACTTTGTTTTTGTCTATGTCATATGCTAGGTTGTAAACCCATATTATTTGCGTGTAAGAAGGAAGAATCCTGTGACAAGCACATTCTCCAAAATGAGTCTACAGTTATACCAAGTGGATAGTAGAACTTACTTATTGGATTTCCGTAGTATTGATGGTATGTACACCACACAAAACAAGGTAGATAATATATTAGACCTGGATACTAACTTTGTGCTTAGTCTTTTTTTTCTTTCTTTCTCTCTCTCTCTTTTCTTTTTAAAGAGACAGGGTGTTACTCTCAGATTGGAGGGCAAAGGCATGATCATAGCTCACTGCAGCCTCGAACTCCTGGGCTCAAGTGATTCTCCCACCCCAGCTTCCTAAGTAGTTGGGACTTGACAGTTGCATGCCATGACACTTGGCTAATTTTTGTATTTTTTGTAGAGACAGGGTCTTGCTATATTGCCCAGGCTAGTCCTGAACTCCTTGGCCTCAAGCTGTCCTTCCACCTTGGCTTCCCAGAGTGCTGGGATTGCAGGTGTGAGCCACTGTCCCTGGCCTTTTGAAACTTCCTGACTTGTTCCTAGTGATTCAATAGCAAAGGAATATAAAATATGCCTTTGTGATATTAACATCTGTGACTCTTATTCTTGTAATCTTATAGTACATTGTCTTTTTAAGATTATCATCTTGTGAAATCCTCAAAGCCAGATGCAGTCTTACCCTAAGTTGATAGTTTTCTGCCATATTTGTTTTTTTTGTTGTGGTTCATTTTGATAAAATGAAACGTTTTATTTAGAAATAAATGTTGACTTTTTGGTAAGCTTTTACTTATTATTAAATAATTTTAAAATTAAGTATAAGGTTATGGCAATTTTTCATTGGCCAATTCAATTGCATTAAGATATGATGTCATCTTTGTTTATGGAAGATTGCATAGAATTATTAGATAAGGTTCACCTGTATATTTTTTTCTTCCTTAGTATCAGGTTTGAGTCAAACTGTTAGCTGTCCTAACCTGTTTGTCAGATTATCTTTATATCCATACAATATGTATTTGCTAACACATACTAATGCAGTCTGATATATGGAATTGGTTTATTTTTCTCATTGTATTTGGATCAAGTGTGCAATCTTAGATTTATTAGCATTACGGGCTTACCAACTGAATGACCATTAACTTTTAATGTTGTTTTTGCAACCTTAGTTTTTCTTTGAGTTTTGTTCATTGGAATCGTTGATTTAATGATTAAGAACTTAAGTGAAATATAAAGTGAAAGCAGAGTGAAAAGCACCGAGCTGAAAGTTAGGAGAATTGATTTCTATACTTACAATTCTGTTCATTTGTTATTTTGGGCAATTCATGTAACTTCTCTGGGTTTGATTTCTTATCAATAAAATGAAGGGTTGGATAAGATGATTTCCAGACTACATTCCAAATTTCAAGTTATTGATTCCATGATTTTAATTAGAGGGATTAATTTTTATTGCTAGAGAATGGTACTTATTGAGGCCAGGTTATTAGTTTTTTGGGCTCTTAATCTTGGATTGCAGCTGATAAGTAGCTACATACTGTGCCCAACCTTTATTAGCCTTCCCAAGAATACATACTATGTGTAAAAAAAGGTCAGTGGTTTAGCACAGGCTCATTGCCTCTGTTTTAGAAGGTATTTAAGATAAACATGCTTGTGATAACTGGTCAGTAGTCTGATTTTAAAAAGCAAATTCAATATTGTTACAAAAATTTTGGGGGGAAGTTATAGATTATAATTGAGATTCTTTTTACCTAGATGAAATTACAGAAGCCAAATCAGGGACTGCTACTCCACAGAGATCGGGATCAGTTAGCAACTATCGATCTTGCCAAAGGAATGATTCAGATCCTGAGGGTCAAGGAAAATCCTCAGAAGTTTCTCTTACCTCATCTGTGACCTCGCTTGACTCTTCTCCTGTTGATTTAACTCCAAGACCTGGAAGTCACACAATAGAATTTTTTGAGATGTGTGCGAATCTAATTAAAATTCTTGCACAGTAAACCTAAACTTTGCTTATTTCTTTTATAGCAATAAGCATGTGTAATAAATCATAGCCAAATGCTTCTATTTGTAATCAAGTTATACATAATTATAACTGAGGATTGGCCTTTTGGAATGCAATTTGCACAGGGATTGGAACATGATTAATAGTTAAAAGCCTAATGTGCAGAAATGAATTACGATCACTTTGTTCATTGTTCAGTAGGCATATAGCATACTATAATATACAGTACACAATGAATTATAGATCTCTCAGGCTCACTTAACTTTTGGCTATTTTATATTTAGTGTACACAGGGCTTTGAAAATATTAATTTACCATAAAGGCCTTCATATATTGTTACATATTAATGTGTTATATATTTGCTCTGTAAATTTATTCAATAAATATTTGCCTAGAATTCCCAGAGACCTTTATAGACAATTTTGTTTTTTGGGCTCTTTAACTTCCTAAATAGCTAGTATCTTCCACTAGTAGCAGCAGTCTGGATACCTTCTTCCATATCCCACTCTTAAAATTTGATAGTATATGGTAAGTCATATCAGATATTAGACCCAAATTAAATTTTTTCTTCGGCTTCCTAAGTCCAAAAACACACAATTTATATATTCAGATACTCTAGCACTAAGTTTAATCTTATAATTTGTCCCAGTATATTCTGTATATAAAATATTCTTTTTGTTGGAAGAGCTGAGTTGCATATACTGTAAACACATCATGTTGTTTTTTGCCAATTTCACAAATTTCTCTGACTCGTCAGCATTGAGTTTATACAAACATTTCTAGCTATTTGATTATGTATCTTTTAAATTGATTTACCGCATAGAAAAAATATCTCTTACAAACTTTGTGCTCAGATCTGAACTTTCCCCTCCTAAATTTTATTATGAACATTTTTGAAAACAGAAAAATTGAAGAACTGTAGGGTGATCATGTGTATCTATCACATAGACTCAACAGTTAATGTTTTACCATATTTCCTTTCTTGATATTTGTATAAAGATTCAGATAGTTATGCATATATATGTATGTGTTTATATGTATGTATATATATATATTTTAAGCATTTAGATGTTACATACACATTCATCACCCTAAAATTCTTCAGGTGTCTCCTAAAAATGACATTCTCATAAGAAACCATAGTATCATTATAAAATTAGTAATTCCCTAATATCATCTAATACTCAAGCCATATTGTCCTCCAAATTTCTCTTATAGTTGGTTATTTCAAACCAGGATCCAATTAAAGTTTAAATGTGTTATATTTCTATAGTTAGATATATAACATTATTATTATTTTGACAAAATGTGAAACCAATCACTTCTTCCAAATGGCCACATTTGAGTTTTAAGTACTTAAAAAAAAATTAACTTAATGGGAACTGTCTAAAGATATTTGATTATCCTAAGATTTCTGATTTACATTGATAGTTTTGTTTTTCTCATTGTAAGTAATAGCATCACATCATAGATGTAATTGAAGATTTAAAGTTACCTCAGATAAAACTGGTATCTGATAATAAAAACATTTATTACTCATCTTTGTCTTATGTTAACTTTAAGAAATTTTTTTTGGTGTTAATTATTTTTCCATTGCAACAGAACTATCATTTTTCTGTTTTAAAATCATGTTTTAGGATTGTGTTTGGCAAATACAGTGAGCACCTGTGTCACCAGATGATGATACTGTCCTCAAATGTCATGATAGTGTACGTAAGTGGATGATTACTCTAATTGTAGGTTTGACTCCAGCACCTCTAGAATCAGCACTGAATTCAAAAGAAAAATCTTGCTTCTTTTTTTTTTTGGTCCAGGGTTTGTTCTATTCAGCTTTGAATTTGAAAGATCTACAAAGTAATAGAAATTCAACTTAAATGACTTCAAAACTGTATTTATGACTTGTATGTAGCCCTCTGTTTAAGGGATATTAATTTCACTTAGGTTCCCTAAATTCAGCGTTATGTTCCAGATGTCAAGAACAAAAGACTGTATTTTTAAAGTCACAAATTTGTATATAGCATTTAGTAATGTCTCTAAAACTGTTGTTGGGGGGTGGGGAAGGAGGAACCAGTTAAATAGGACCTCTAAAAATTGTTAATTTTGTAAACTGCTTCTTTTATAAGTTATTGTGATTCCTTTTAGTTACTGAGTTTTATTTTGGAGATATTTAAATATTGCACTTGTACAAATAGTATGATAAATGCACAGACTATTGCAGTAAATTCTTTTTTAAGCTATGATATTTGAAATGACAACTTTTGGTTAAGTGTGTCAAGATTGCAACAGAATTTTCACAAATTTATTGTAGTTTGCAAATTCTTACTAATATTGAAGAGGTAAAGGGAGTCAATGCAAATGATTTTTACTTTTTTTATTCTTTTCAGCAATTTATATTTTTTGTGATTTTATGCAACCATATTTTTACTTTGTCTTGACAACTGAAAGATGTATAAGGTTTTTGCCAGAAATGTACTGTATACATAGTTTTAAATATAACAGATTTTACTGATATGTAAAAATTTTGCCATTAAAATAATTGATTTCTCACTGAGAGGAACTTTTCTACCAGGTTGGGGCATATGGGAGCTTAATGTATCATATCTAATTTAAAATAATTTCACTGAAATAAACTCCATTGCTTTTACTTTTTTTCTTGAGATGCTTTTGTAGTTTTTCAGTTTTGGGTGATTTTATACAAAATCCTTCTCGCCCGGCACTGCCCTTTGATACCATTCACAGTGAATTAATGCCTGGTAGCCTGTGGCTAGATACAGAACTCCATGTATCTATGTTCTGACTGGTACCTTTGGAAGGAAAGAAAAAATGTGTCTTGTTAACGTCTTTTTTTCCTTAATTCCTCCTCCCTTTTCCCACCCATGGACATCTTATTTTCATTGTGAGTTCTCCTGACAAGATGAATGAAATTCCACATATAACATAACTAAATTGGTGATAGGTAGAAATCAATCTTTGTGGTTCATGTATATTTTTACCAGAGTACATTTAAATATACAATCTAAGTTCCTTGATATAGAAAGATGGTATAATAAAGAAAAACTTCATTTTTCATCTGTTACAATGTGCATACTTTTTTAATCTTGGAGAAACTAGATTAAAAAAAACTTGCTCGTGGCTGAATATTTATGTACCTTTCTTTTTTAACAACATACCATAAAATACAGTGCTTGACCATATTTTAGTTCTCAGACATTGTGATTTTTGTCTCAACTACAGTAGTTTTGATTTCATTTAAAAATCAACTACTCAGAATATTAAGATATATACAATAAAAATCAAAGCAACTACCATTTATCAGTTGCTAACAGTGGACTTGGTTAGAATCTTAATATTGTTTGAATTCAGTTATTATTAAATCTTATATCCATATGGCATTGTTAGGCATGGCTTCTTGTGCTAGATTGTAGGCAACCTATATCTTTAAAAAACTGCTAAAAAGTGTTATGAATAGCATATAAAATGGTTCTTTTAGAGAACGTATAAATTGCTTTAGGTATTTACCCTGAGTGTACAAAATTGCACAAGAAATGCCCATTTGAAAGTCAGTACTTATTGAACTATTTTATTTGTTGCAAATACCAATAAATGTTAACTATAATAAATATATGTAATCCCGGCACTTTGGAAGACTGAGATGGGAAGATGGCTTGAGGTCAGGAGTTCTAGACCAACCTGGGCAACCCAGCGAGATTTCGTCTCTACCAAAAAAAAAAAAAAGAGGATTTTTGGAAGATGTTGTTTAATATGCTATAAAAAATAGCATAAGCAATGTATTAAATATATAATAGGTTAATGAGGATCATAGACCAAAGTTAGTAGAGAAGTAGAGAAGTGGTGGGTGAAGTATAAAAATGTAGTGGGAGGTACCCTTTCACAGAGTAGAGGGGATCAAGGTTAAGTTGAGATTTAGGAAAGACCCCTAGGGAGCATCAAGCACCATTTATTTACTCTGCAAACTATCCTTTCATATGGCTACTATGAACTAATGGCACGTGAATGTGATAAATTACATACTGGTTTGTAAGATAAATTCTACTCTGAGCGTCTTGTTAGGGAGATATATAAGTATATAAAGACTGGGCCAGGCACGGTGGCTCATGCCTATAATCCCAGCACTATGGGAGGCAGAGGTGAGAGGACTGCCTGAGCCCATGGGTTCGAGACCAGCCTAGGCAACATGGTGAGACCTCATCTCTACAATAAATCAAAAAATTAGCTGGGCGTGGTGGGCGCAGCCTGAAGTTCCAGTTACTTGGAAGGCTGAGGCTGAAGGGTCACCTGAGCCCAGTAGGTCAAGGCTGTGGTGGCCATGAGTGTACCACTGCACTCCTGCCTGGGAATCAGAGTGAGACTCTCAAAAAAAAAAAAAAAAAAAAAGGCATAACATATAGAAAGTGCACAAATAACTATTTGGCTCAATGAATTTTCAGTGTTTTCAAGTATACAGTGAATATGGCCACATAAACTACACAGATTAAGAAACACTGCCACCTCTTTAGTGTCTTTTGTAATTAATATCAGGCATGATAGATGATCACATCTGTCCTCTTCTATAGGTAACAAAAACCAACCCTGGTACAATGTCAGAGGGAACTACATAAGGATGTGAATGCCAGAAGTGAGGATCACTGGAGGCTGACTACCAGAGTCATGCATTGATCATTTTGAAATATTGGTTCACCTACGCAGGTTTTACAAATGTTGATGTATTTAATAAAATGATATAAAAATCACATCTGATAATATCTCCACTGATGCTACAAAAGTCTGGAAATATCAAAGAGCTGCCAAGATCATTTTGGTGAATACAGTTTTTCCAAAATCATAATCTTTGTTTAAAATCTTGAATTTTTATCATTGGCAACAAACGCTGTCAGTTTTCTTGAAGTACCAGGTTCTCTTTGTTCATTTTCAAGAAAAGTTCTGTCAAATGCTCATGTCTGAATAACCAGCTCGTCAGTAGTTCTTCTAAATTGTATTTCTTGAAAAAAGAATCTCCTTCAGTTTAGAATGCAACCACACAAGTGCTTTTCTTTGAGACAGCACAAGTACTTTGGAAGCACTTCCCATTTTGTTACATATAATATTTTAAACAGTACACTTAAAGGGTTATTAATAAAATAATTTTTACAGCTTCATCAAGGATAGTCCTGAGTGATGGCATTTATTTTCCTTGCTATTAGTGTGTGATGGAAGAATGAAATGACTATTAGCACAGTTTGGTATTATTACCGTAATTCCTGCAGAGGTGCCAGAAGTTTCACCTACCCTTGTTTTTCTACCATCAACATTGTAAAAAGGGCAAATGTTCATATTAATATGAAAGTAGTTTTGGCTTTGAAAGGGTGTCAGCAACCCTCAGGAGAATCATTGGTCTACATCAGTGATTCTCAACTGGGCAGGGTCAAGGCACGATTTTTTTTTCTAGGGGATATTTCACTGTCTGGAAAAAAAGGTGGTCACAGCTGTGGATGGTTGTTAGTGGTGGATGCTAATGGCATCTAGACCAGGGATGCTGCTAAACACCATGCAATGCGCAGGACACGCTCTTCCCGGAACAGAGAATTAACCAGTTTGAAATGTTAATAGTGCTAAGGTTGAGAAGCCTGATCTCCGAAAGTCCCTCCCCCCGACCTTTTTTCTTTTTTGCACAATTTAGCTACATGGCTATATCAACCATCTTAATTGCCTGTGTTACACCTGCCCATTTAATTTGTTTTCAAAACATGACCCACAGCTACTTTCAGACTGTATTCCTTTGGTCTGGATCCAATTATTTGTCACTTTTGATGTGAGGCTTACAGCTGAGTTATGAGCTTCTCTGATCTGCCCCCTACTTTTTTTTTTTTTGAGACAGGGTCTCCCTCTGTTGCCAGGCTGGAGTAAGGTGGCGCGATCATATCACTGTAGTCTCCAACTCCTGGGCTACAGGCGTGAGTCATCATACCCGGCTAATTTGTAAATATTTTTGCAGAGCCGAGTTCTTGCCATGTTGCGTGGCTGGCCTGGAACTTCCAGGCTCAAGTAACCCTCCCGCCTTCTCCTCCCAAGGCGCTGGGATTACAGGCGTAAGCCTACACGCCCGGCCCTCTGAGCCCCTTTCAACGGAGTTTTGCCTCTCTGTTCTCTGCGTCTGGCCGGCCTCATCAGCCTGGCTGTAAACCCCTTTAGGGCGTGACCATCTCTTCAGCCTGACTCCCCCTCAAAATCGTCTTCCCCGCGCCTCGCTAGCTCTGCTTGCTGCCTGGATGCGCAGCGCAGTACCGCCCGGCGGCCTCTCCCCGCGCGCTGCCGGCCCGCGCAGCCGCATCTTCCCGCGCTGCGGCACTGCGAGACCACGCGCGCGCCCCCGAAGCCCCGGCGGCTGCGGGAGGATGTGCCGGGCCGTGTGACTGACTACAAGTCCCAGAAGGGGGCGGTCGCAGTGACTTCTGGGACTTGTGGTGCCGGAGAAGGGACTCGCTAGTGAGAAACGCAGAGAGAGTGGTCTCTACTTTGCCTGCTTGGGTAGACTGTTCGGACGTCCCCCGGGGGTGGGCCAAACACGTTTCTTAGGAAACCAGGCATCAAAGGCAGGCAGGTAGGAAGTCGGGTACGATAACTTCCGCTTCCGGTGGGCAAGAATGTAAACAGAGAATCACGGGAGTTGTCATCAGGTAACCGCGCTCGGTCTTGTCAGCGGCGGAAACCGGAGGAAAAGGAGGAAACCCAGGCGAGTGGATGTTGCGGTTAGGGGAGGCAGGAGCTTCAGAAATAGGAGCTGAAACGCGACAGGGTCCAGGAGAGCCGGGACGCCAAGGTCGGCCTCCCGGGACAAGCGAGTCAGGGAACCGGGCCCTCCTTGGGCGGCTTCCGAGCTAATGAGGCGGACACGGTGGCTCTGACCTGCCCTCGGCGGCGGGAGGGGCGGAGCAGAGCTTGCTTTCCACCCAGCGTGGAAGGTGTGGGGGACGGAAGGCGGGCCTGGGGAGCTCGCAGGTGACGCCCCTGGAAGCCTTTATGAGTTTTGCTTTCAGGAACGTTTTTGTTGTTGACCCATAAAGGGAAGGTCGCCGATACCGGTTTCTCTCTTGAGGTGACATTTTTGGGTCAATCGTTTCTTGCATTTTTCACCTCCTCGGATACATCCCTGTAGCCGGGAGGATGCTGTTGTGATCTCCTGATCGTGTCCATCCAGTGGTTTTTCATCTTGGGTGCGGCATCCTCTGACGCGGTCAAGACACTCATACTCTGGCTTGTGGCTGGGTGCACAATGTGAAGCCATCAACCGTTAACGAACGCCTATTGTAGAGATCATTGTACCAGTACAGGAATTTAGAATGCAACGTCGTTGTTTAGAATTTTTATGGTATTCGTTAAATGTCATTCTTTATAATAGGTTGATTTTATCTGGTTTCGTGACTTTAACTTGAAACCTTTATGATTATGATTTACCCATGGTGAAAAATGTTAAGTCTAGGATGTTGGTACCTTGCTTCTAACTGTAGATTCAGGAAACCCTCCTCTACAGGAACTTTTAATTTCATGTTCAGATAGCCATAGAGGAACAATAAACTCCCACTACCTAAGCTATCTGAATCAACTCGGAGTATTAAATATTCCAAGGCAGAAAAGTGTTTCGCATGTGTCCTAGGACTCGTACTTCCTTTTAAGGCTGAATAAATTTTGTTTTTAACTTAAGATCTCCACAAAACCTCAAGTATCCTTTCTCTGGTGCTCTAGCATCCTTTGTGTAGTCTCTTGTAGCACTTATCCTGTGTTGTAATTGACTCTAAATGCTTGTGGTTTCAAGACAGTTTTGAAGAAAATATAAAACTGTACTAATAGCCTTGGTAACAGATTCATGTTTTTTAATCTCAGTGGGCCTAGATACTGTTTGATGTCTCTACTCATTTTTTGTTGCCTTTCCTGATCTTCTAAAGCAACTATTTTAGATCTTTTTTTATTTTCCTTAAGTGTTCAGATCCATTTATTTGGAGTAGATCATATATTTCTACTATCCTGTAGAAATATGTAGCTGGGCATATGAAATTCCTCTTACCTTTCCCCACACCCCTGAACTTGCTGGACATTTCACTCAGTATTAACTTCCTTTTAGTCTGAGCGGAATGTATTTTTGTCCTGCTTTTCCAGGCTAAACTTGGCAATTGCTAGTGTCATCAGGCTGCTACAACTTTATAACCTCATTCTGTCCTGACCTCTGCTGCCTACAATCTCTAAAAGATCTCAAGGGATTTGTGGCGAAGGATGGCACAAACTCATAAGGCTGCGGTGTGTGTGGCTTTGGGTTTGGGAAGGGTAATAAGAGTCTGAATAACCTAATACTTAAAAAATATATATATGGTTCTGTCTTTCCCCTTTTTCCTTTCCTCTCCACTCCCCTTTCCCTGATAATCTATAGACCTGACCAGTGGTTTTTTTGTTTTTTGTCTTTTTTTGAGTCAGAGTCTCACTCTGTCACTTAGACTGGAGAGCAGTGGCATGATCACAGCTCACTGCAGCCTTGACTTCCTGGGTTCAGGCGATCCTTCTACCTCAGCCTGCTGAGTAGCTGGGACTACAGGTATGTGCCACCACACCCAACTAATTTTAAAAAAAATTTCCTATAGAGATGAGGTCTTGCTGTGTTGCCTAGGCTGGTCTTGAACTCCTGGACTCAAGCTATCCTCCTGCCTTGGCCTCCCAAAGTGCTGAAATTACAGGCTTGAGTCAATACATTAGCATGACCAGTGTTTTTTGATGTAATTTGCCTTCAATAAATACATCACGTTTCTGTTAGTATTAATAGGGTTCCCCCACTGCCTGATACCTTACATTACTAATATAGAAACAAAGTTTTATTTGGAAACTTGAAGCCAGAAAACTTAGTCATCATTCTTGTTACCATTAGGGATAGTCATAAATACAAAACTTTTCTTGTCCTGACTTCTAAGGCTTTCCTAATGATCCATTTTCTAAGGTGTCCTCACTCACGATGTGCCTCTGAACTTATGTTCCATAGTATCCTCACTTGCATTTTCAGTCATTTAAAAAATTCTTCTCTTACAATACTTGTAGTTTTCTTCAAACATAGGAAACTCATTCTTTCATATTATGATGGTTCTGGAAAAAGAGTTTGCATTGTCCTAATTCCCTAACATGGTTTATAATCCATTACTCCTTCAGGTTAAAAAAATAAAATCTCTGCTCCTGTGGAAAGCCTGTGTTTCACCTCTTTCAGCCTGTATATTTCTTAATTGCTATGATTTATTGGTACTTTCTTATATTTACTAAGAACTTAGGCACATGACCCACCATGTTCTTACCCCTCAAAATTCTGCCATTATCTTGGGTCTTTCCATGTTAAAGACCTCAGGGCAACACTCACTTTTTAAATCTTTTTCCTTCTAGTGATTACAAGATATCTCAATTTATCGTGCTTCATTTTATTGCACTTCACAGATGTTGCATTTTTTAACATATTGAAGGTTTGAGGCTACCCTGTGTTGAGCAAGTCTTTCAGCGCCATTTGTCTGACAGTTTGTGCTTACTTTGTCTCTGTGTCATATTTTGGTAATTCTCAAAATATTTCAAACTTTTTCATTATTATGTATCTCTTATGGTGACCTGTGATTAGCGTTCTTTGGTGTTACAATTGTAATTGTTTTGGGGCACTGCAAACCATGCCCATATGAAGTGGTGAACTTCATTTTAAAAAATGTATGTTTTGACAGCTCAACCAACTGGCTATTTCCCCATCTCTCTTCCTTTCCTCAGGCCTCCCTGTTCTCCGAGACACAATAACATTGAAATTAGGCCAGTTAACAATCCTCATGGCCTCTAAGTGTTCAAGTGAAAAGAAGAATTGCATATCTCACACTTTAAATTAAAAGGTAGAGATGATTAAGCTTAGCGAGGAAGGTATTGTTGAAAGCAGAGATAGACTGAAAGCTAGGTCTCTTGCACCTAAAAGCCAAGCTGTGAATGCAAGGGAAAAGTTCTTGAAGAAACTTAGAAGTGTCACGCCAGTGCACACACAAATGATAAGAAAGCAAAACAGCTTTATTGCTGATATGGAGACAGTTTGAGTAGTTTAGTAGAAGAGCAAACCAGCCACAACATTCCCTTAAGCATAAGCATAATTTAGAGCAAGGCTCTAACTTTCTTCAATTCTATGAAGGCTGAGAGAGGTATGGAAGCTGCAGAAGCAAACTGTGAAACTGGCAGAGATTGATTCATGAGGTTTAAGGAAAGAAGCTGGCTCTATATCATAAAATTGCAAAATGTAACAGCAGATGCTGATAGAGAAGCTGTAGAAAGTTATTCAGAAGATTTAGCTAAGATAATTGATGGAGTTGGCTACACTAAACTGATTTTCTTTTTTTTTTGAGTTGGAGTCTCACTTTGTTGCCCAGACTGGAGTGCAGTGGCCGCTCCTGGCCACTGCAGCCTCGACCTGCTGGGATCCGGCGATCCTTCCGCCTCAGCCTACCGGGTAGCTGGAATTACAGGCGCGCGCTACCATGCCCGGCTAATTTTTTGATTTTATTGTAGAGATGAGGTCTCGCCTGCCCAGGCG